CCCCCCCCCCCCTCTAATTTTCCAACCCCCTCTCCAGGTAATTATTGCACAGTCCCTTAAGTGGTGAAATAAATGCAACCAACATAAAGTAGTTCGAAAAAAATCTGTTTTTTAATACATCTTTCTTTGTCTACTATCTGAGTTACCCGCTCGTTGCGAAGATTTTTGCAAATCGTCAGTAGACGGTGCGTAAGCCGATTCAAGGACAAAGCGTAAATGCGTAAACAAACCCATTTGTAATCTGTAAAACCAATTTACTGCAGGAAAAAAAATAAACATGTTATTTGCCGGCTTAGAGTCGGTCCATATGGTGAAAGACTGTGACTTCGTGCTTGAAAATGCTGCCCGAGGCCGCAGGCCGAGGGCAGCATTTTCAAGACCTCGGTCACAGTTTTTCACTCTACGGACCTCCCAGCCGGCAGATGGCATATATATCTTACCAAATATTAACAAAATAATTGGGGAAGGATTTAATACATTGGGTAAGTTTGATTTTTAACATCAAGAGAAGATCAAGGTAAGTACCGTGATCTTCTCAAGTTAATAACCTAGAGAAAAGTGTTCTTTATCAACCTTGAAAATTTGAGATCATCTGGTTCAAACGCAGTGAAGATATTCTTTTTTTAGGTATTTGCGAGCTTTTTTGTAGAAATTAAGCTTTAAAGTTTTTTTATGCTTTTAAAAGGTAAAATGCCTCAAAAGAGGCGGCTGGGGGTGTTGTAGCTGGGGAGGGGGGGTGCCATGATTGCAAAGAGATACGTGATTGTTGCATGGGCTATGTACCTACTACACCAGTCATTGAAATTAAAGCCAAGTATAATGGGCTTATAGAATAGAAGTGGAAAGAAAGTAAAGTACAATGATTGCAGATTTATCATTCTATGCGACTTGAAAGCTTTTTTGTTGAGGTAAATCTTTTTTTTTTTTTGGTATAACTTCTAGAGGTGAATATAAGAACTGGACATTCTGATTGGTCAAAAAGTTTATCATATGACGCTGGATATTACACGGTGGCGAGAAGATGTGAATTTTATGTTCGAGTGGCAAGAACAATATCTCACGAGTGAGCGCATCTCACGGGTGAGCGCAGCAAACTAGGGAGGTATTGTTCTTGCCACCAAGAGATATTGAGATATTGAGACATTGAGATATTGAGATATTGTTCTTGCCAATAGAATAAAAGACATTACACAAGACTGGGAGTTCAGCAGTCACTAATATCGCCTTGGAAAGGGAAGAAAAAAAAAGGAGAAGTTATTACATCACGGGGTATTCGTATTTGGTAACCCATCCAAGCATGGACCCCGCCGAACAGGGCTTAACTTTTTTAAGCGGGCGAGACGCGGTGCTGTCTTTGTGGTAGTGTGACTCTGCGTTGAATTTTTTTTTTTTCTCTCAAAAAGTAACATAGAAAGAAAAAAATCACCGATATCGCCTGGGAAAATAAAGAACGAAAAAACTAGGAATGAAAATGAGAATCCGATTATACTTGCTTTGCTGATCGGACAGGAAACCTTACTTTCTTTATAACTGACCCGGACAAGGATCACCAGTAACTTCACGAATGTTTTTATTGGTGTTACATATCCTCGTGTATTCTCTTACCGTTGCGTTTTGCCAGTGGGCTTTAACTTTAACTTCACTTACTGGCATAAACCTCAAGTCAGTGGCATCAAAATTGTCACTGTATACAGACGATCCATTTTGCAAGTTGAGTGGCTCATAGCCACTTTTTTTGTTCTGTACTCACCTAGACTCGAACACCCAATCTCTGACTTTGTAGTCCACCTTTACCTCCTCTGGGCTATACAAGCAATTGTTGTAAATTTCCTCATATTTTCCAGTCTAATAAGTTATCTGTCCCCGACTCTCCTTCCCCTTTGAGGAAAATTAAACTACTTTAAAATCACTCTGATTTAAGGACGTTCGCGCTAATTTTTTCTACGCATCCTTACTGCGCACGCAAATTCACACGCCACGTCATGAGCGCGCGCGCTAAGTAATAAAATGAACAATGATATCGCAGATGGCCATTGCTATAGCTTTGCCTGGATTTAACGATCTTGAACGTTCGGTGACCCCTACTTTTCTTTCCAGGAACAGCTTTTATTTACAATTATCTCCACATTGTCCAAAAGTGAACAAAAAATCAATGTGGGAAGCTGGAAAAAACGTTTCAAAATTTCTGTCCACGGGACATCGAATCCTGCCATCTTGCGGCCGCAAGGCGTGTGAAACTCTGGCCGCTAAATGTGAACTTGTTCTTTAAGGAACCTTACCAGTTGACTAAATTCACTTAATAGGTCCCCTTAAACAATATTTGGCAGAGAACATTTCACCTCAAAGATCTAATNCTCTGGCCGCTAAATGTGAACTTGTTCTTTAAGGAACCTTACCAGTTGACTAAATTCACTTAATAGGTCCCCTTAAACAATATTTGGCAGAGAACATTTCACCTCAAAGATCTAATATCAATATATTTGGGCTTACAGACACTGTGGCCTTATTTGCTAGCGAAGCCCGTTTTTTCATATTTTGGGTGTTCTTTCGGGCATGTTCTCTCCAAAACGAAGTCGGTGACTCCTCATTTTTTTACATTTCAGACATAACTAACTCATCATCTTACAGTGGTAAAAGTCTGAGAAAAAAAATCAATGTTGGAAAATTTTCGCGCGAACGTCCTTAAAGAACATTATTAAACTATAATGTAGCCACTGCTAGACTTTTCTTTCCAGACCTGGTTTAATTTCCATTCGTTGTTGCAGAGAAAATGTTTTAGGCAGTGTTGCTCGGGTATATAGTTCTTTTATTTTTGGTTCACAGATATGGAAAGTGTTTTAGCCAGGCATGAAGAAGAACCACATGTCTTAAATCAAGCGCAACTGTCAATTGGAATTTACCATGAATTTCTAGAAAGCGAGGCAGGCGACGTGCCAGACGATTCAAGTGGACTGGGAACTGTTGCTGTAGCTGTAGACCCGGATGTAATGGAATTCGTCACCACTTCAGCATTTCGTGATGAACTAAGCAATTCCCTGGCAGCAAAGAAGTGTGAAATTACCTGGAAACCGAACAACAAAATGGCTGTAATAGTGTACCAAGGAGGAGACGAAAGTGATTCGTGGCACTCCGAGTGCATCGATGAAGTACAAAATTACCTCGGCAAATTTGCAAAGCGCGACGTTCAAGTCAACAAGGATTTCTGGAGAGCAGTGAAAACACAGTTATCCAGTATTCGCGCCTGCTTGGGAGTGGATCCTCCGCTGGTCAAAACTATCGATGATTTATTTGCTGCCAGAATTGTTTCTCTGAGCTCAGATGTTAAAGATTACCAGGAGAAGTTGAAATCTAAATTGGAAGAGATATACCGGGAGGAAACCAGAAAAACATACCTGAAGAAGAACGTACCAGGCGTTCCTGAAGAACGCTTGATTCTGTTGAAGAAGATCAAGTTTGTGGAGAAACTTCAAGAGAACAACAAGGAGCTGGAAATAAAGTTAGACACTGAAGGCGAAGAAATCTATTTTGAAGGTCCTTGGCTACAGTTTACTGAAGCAACTATGAAGTTCAAAAAACAAATGTCGGACATGGTTGAAAACACTTTGACTTTGTCCGACGGCATCTTAGAAGTTTTAGGCTCAGATGAAGGGTTAAAGAAAGTGAAGAGTGAGTTGGAAAAGAATAACGTGGAGGCAGTGTTCGTCATTGACAAAGATACCAAGATCGTGGGCACGTCAGCTGCGCATGCAGACAATGCCACGAGGCTCCTGAACAAGCTGATGTTGGAAGAAAAAGTGGATGATAAGAGCAAATGCTTGTTAAAATCACCAGAGTGGCTCTCGTTGTGTGACGAAATCAACACTGAAACATCTGTCCGTATCCATAGGAACAACTGGAATGACACCTACGTGGCTGGGTTCCGGGATGACGTCATAGAGGTGATGAAGAAGCTTAATACATTCTTGGAGAGCAACTGCATCAGGGAAGAATTGTTTGTATGTTCATCTCAGATTGTCAGAAGGTATCTTACCGAGCTTCGTCAGGAAGAATTGGGCTCCATTGAAAATGAATTGAAGGATTTTGAAGTGAAGATTAACAAAGGAAAAGGCGAAAACGAATTTTACATTTCTGGAAACAAAGAAGGTTTGATTCGTTTGAGAAGAAAGCTTGACGCTCTTATAAATGACACCGCCTCAAAAACCTTTCAGGTGAAACAGCCAGGCCTCCAGAAGTACTTTGAAAGCAGAAAAGGAGATCGTCTTGTGAAATCAGTGGAAAAGGATTACAACTGTGCCATACACGTACAGAAGCATTTTGGCCAGAGGCGTGATGACTTCAGTGATGATGATGATGATGACGATGACGATGAGGATGATGAAGACGACGAAGACGACTACGACGGGGCTGCTTTTAGTAGGTCTGATGTATCTACCTTGGTTACGACCAAAGGCCACCACAGAATATCTTTGAGAGCTGCAAATATTGAGACAGAGAAGGTGAGTGTTGAGCGATTAAACCTGCGTACCCACTTCCCGATACTTGTCCACTTATCAGTGTGTCACTTTTGATTAGTTCTCAGTTATAAAACGGTCATTTCAAACTATCAATCAGATTTAAATGCATCAAGAAAACCCATAATTTCTAAGCTGTCTGTTATAACTTTGTTCTGCTATCACACTGTTTAACTCCATTTACAGATAACTCTTTTTAACTCCATTTAAGTCTCCTACTTTGATAATTTTAACAATTGCTTCGCTCATTTTCCCCTTAAAATCCAACTTAATTAGGACAATATCTTTCTTCACGTGTTTCTCAAACACTCTCCAGAAACCATCTGTTCAAAGTGTGATTAAGCAACTTAAACTTCAGATTAACTATACATTGAAAAGGGGGCACTTCTGGTGGGCTTTTTGTTTTGCTACCCTCTCTGTAATGCTTTACAATATTTTAACCTGAAGTTTTAATTTGAATTGCAGGCTGATGTATTGGTCAGTTCAGTGGGAGCATCGTGTCAAGCGATTATCAATGCTGGTGTTCCTGTAATGAACACTCCAAACCTTGGAGATATTGCTGTCTCTCCTGGTTTTCCCTTGGCCAATCACGTGGTCAACACTTCCTGTTGCCAATGGAATGGTGGTGAAGGGGAGGCGGTAAGTGCATTTGTTTTCGTACCTTGAACTGCTGCCTCATAATGGTTGAAAAGCAGTGGTGGCATAGTTATTTGGGAGAAAGCTAGGCTCCCACCATGCAATGTGGCTCGTGTAGAAATTCCGGCCCGGCAACATCTGGGTTAAGTTTTCTGGTTCGTCCTTGCTCCGAGTGTTTTCTCGAAGTTCTCCGCTTTTCCTTCTGTCGCAAAACTCACCAATCCAAATACAGCCCACAGTCTCCCGCTTTGCTCCGACGAAGGGCTAACAATAAGGCTTTATCTTCACAAACTGATTTTGGTGGTCAATTCAGCTTTACAAAACTTCAAGATGAAAACTAACTTAGTGTTTCTCTCAGCTGTGACTCCCTTTTCGTATGATTCTTTAGAATTAGTCTGAGGAAAGTTATAAAGGCATTAGTGGATTGGTGCAGTACTTATTATATGGTCCACCTTGGAAGTCCACTCTTTTTCTCTCTTTATTTTTTCCTTTTGTTTCAGACTCTACGGGCCCTTGTCCAAAAGTGTCTACAAAAGGCGGAAGAGCTTAGAGCGAGGTCAATCACATTCCCTGTCATAGGCACTGGAAAACTGGGCTTCCCGCGGGACGCAGCCTCAAGAATCATGTTGGAAGAAACGATCAGCTTTTGCCAAGCCAACCCTGTGTCTAAAGTGCGGGATATTCGATTTCTCGTGTTCCAGCAAGATCAGGCATTAACAGCTGCCTTCAAACAAGAAGTGGACAAATTGAGAGCTAAGCACAAATTCGGTCCTGCCTACACTATGAGAGGGCTGCTCAGCAGTATTCGTTCTAAGTTCCCACGAAGGGTGCCACTCTCACCGGGGCGTGTGCGTACCCAGGTTGTGCTAGGTGACTTGTGCCTGGAGACAACAGACGCCATTGTGACTATAACCAGCAAAGATATGAATATGGAGACTGCCGGGGCTTTGAGCAAGGCAGTAAAACAAGCAAGTGGTCCTCAAGTGGAGGCTGAGCGCAATCAGTTGGGACAGCAGTCGGGTGGATCAGCGGTGATTACTAGTGGTGGGAGTTTGGTGGCACGTCACATCATTCACTTGATCCCAGACTCTGCGAGAAAGGATCGTCTGCAGCAGTGCGTGGAAAAATGCCTTCGTCTTGCAGAAATGAAAGGTCTTCAATCCATTTCTATCCCAGCAATTGGAACTGGAGCATTCGGTTTGTCTGCTGTGGACTCGGCCAGCCTGATATTTCAAGCTCTTGGCAACTTTAGCGGAAGTTTCAACAGCATTCGTAAAGTTAGGGTCGTGGTCTTCCAACCTCAAATGCTGCAGGCATTTCAGCAGGAGCACCTGAGGCACTCCTCGTATTCTAGTGGAGGCACGCCTTCACATATTGGTATAGATCTCCGCTTCAGTGTGGAAGTCATAAATGGTGATCTAACTCAAGAGAAAACCGACGCCATCATGAATATCAACAGCACAGATTTGAACATGAATAACGCTGGCGCATTAAGTAAAGCGATAGCAAAAATGAGCGGGCCACAGGTTCAACAAGAGTGCAGCCAGCTGGGACAGCAGTCCGCTGGCTCAGCTGTGATGACCAGTGGCGGGAACTTAAATGTTCGTCACATCATTCATATAATTCCGGGCTCTTCAGATAAACAACATCTTCAGCTATGTTTGGAGGAGGGTCTTCGTGTTGCAGATGCACACAACCTTCGATCGATCTCAATTCCAAGCGTTGGTACTGGCAGATATGGCTTGTCCGCGGCTGAATCGGCTCAGGTAATGTTTCAAGCGCTCAACAACTTCAATGGCAGTTGTGAAAGTGTTTGCAAAGTGAGAGTGGTTGTATTTCAAGCTCAAATGATGCAGGCATTTTTGCAAGAACAGCAGAGACACTCAATGCAAGCTTTGGACGAAGAAGAAAGCGACTCGTCTTCAGATGAGACAGATTTTGGCCAGCCAAGAATGCGCGTAAGAAGTCCAATAAAACAAACAAGTCTAGACCACTCTGTGCGAATTTGTGTGGTCGGCAAGAAAAAAGCTGGAGTGGAAAAAGCTGTGGAGTCTTTGAAGAAAGGTTTCTTTGAAGCTTGTACCACTGAGAAAGTCGAAAATGAGGTCATTAGTCAACTTTCTCATAAACAGGTTGACAGCCTGAGAAGAAAAGCCGAGGATCGTGACGTCAAACTTGAAGTCGAGGCAGATGATAATTGCATCGTCGTACAAGGTCAACCGGCTGATGTGTCCGGCATGATCGGGGAGATCTGGAAAGAGATTAGCGAAAGAACAAAGAAGAGCCAGGAGGAAGAACAGGCGCAGCTGGTGTCAAGGAACATAGAGTGGAGTTATGAAATACATGGTAGTAAAATGGTTTTCGGTCGGAAAGCCAACGCCAAGATTGAGATGGCGTGCAGCAAAGATGAACCCAGAGTGCAAGTATCTTTACATGGAGAGCTGTTTGTTCTCGATTTGAAGGCAAAAACTGGCCGCGGACAAGGAACCGGTGAACAAATCACACTGAAGAGAAAGGTGAAGGGAGCTGAAGAAGGTTAGTGGCGTTCATTGCTGGTAATAAAGTTGTGTCAGTGGAAATTATAACTTCAATATCGTTAATGTTCACATTGACTACAATAATATAAAATTAGGATTTGCGTCGTTTTAAAGTTGTCTTTTGGTATTGTAGCCTGTACAAATGATGTATGCTTGTAAGCAAACTTTAGATCATACATAAATAACTATGTATTTTTGCAAAAAAGAATGAGTATATATATAGCTGAACAAACTGAAATGGTACAGCAACGAGAATACTCAATTTTCTCGTTATGTTCTTAAGTAAAGCTGACTTTAAACATCTTTTTAAGATGACCGTACAAACTGTAGATGTACATTATAAATTAGCATTGTGGAGACCGCCAATTCGCAGCTGAATTTTTTCAGGTTACTTTCAGGTTTCAAGTTGCCTGTATTCAGCCTTTCCATTGTACCTAAGATGATGCAACCTTGTAGCAGAGCTCCCGCACGCCGAAGGCGTGCGAGCGAAGTTCATACCTTAAAAAATTTGTTGACCCACCGATCTAAAAAAATTTTGGTTGTCACGTGACTGGCCGTACGTATGTACATTCCCCAAGCCCAACACCTTGAAAAATAAGAGAATAGCACCATTATCATAGTTACATCTTTGATATTAGACATCCGTGTTATGATTAATTGACAGTTGTCAAAACAAGGTATCCGCTGACCAGTATCACGTGATCATGTCACGGGCTCTTATTTAGAGGTCATCGAGGTCACTCGGAAGTGACCTGTTGCTCAGAGCTATTTTCCCAGTCAAGGGGCTAGTCAAGCACAACAAGTTCAAGGCGACAAAACCAGTTCTCACCGTTGTTTTAAATGCCATCAGATATAGAGTCCTAAAGTGTGACGTCACGTTACCATGGCGCTAAAATATTGGGTTCTAAACAACTCGGATTATCTCTTGCGCGTAGGTCACGTAGTCTTTGTCATCGCTTTGTCCGGAGGTCAAAACCCTTCATAACCCTGTGTTTTGCAACAGAAGACGTCACGAAGAAGGACAGAGGGTGAAAAGGTCAATTGCTATTGCGAAATTACCGCTTTTGTCATAAGAAATAGATCTAAAGGGACGGAAATGGTCTACTGCTTTGCCCCGTCATGCAACCATTCTTCGGAGAGCCATACTTGCAAATACTTTAAATTTCCGAGCGCAGAAAAGGAAAAAGACGAATACAAACGATGGATCCGTCTGATAAGGTTAGTAACGGTATTCATCATTATCTTGCTGCTTGAATACAACATAAAATACGGCAGTTTTGAGTGAATGTGCGATTTTCACCGACTCGAAATGTTGTAC